TTTCACGATTGGTGTGCTCAACATATATTTTCAGGAGCACTATGTGTTGCTCATACAAACCTTCACACGTGTTAATATTCTATTTCTTTCAAAAAGCAGGTATAACCAAATATTACAATATTTTGTCATTTAAAAATACAATTTATTTTGACCATATATTCTGTAATTAAAAATGTAGGCACTACCTAAGAGCAAATCAGTACATTGATTTAAGCTTGCACTCTGAAAAAGATTATTTTCCATGGAGCTCATCATTACAAGGAATATTATAAACAGTTGTGAAACATCTGTTAAAAATTGATGAGAACAGAATAAAAAATGAAACCTGCCTTCCTGCACTAATTGCGCTGTTAACATTTAGTACTGACTTTGTTGCATGTTGACGGTCCCTGGATCTTGGTGTTGTTTTACCTATAAGATTGCCCTATGACGTAATTGTTACATTTTTGTGCATTTTTCTGATTTTATGAGTGAACATAAATATGTACATGTACTGTGTATTGCACACGTATCTAGAAAACTAGTGCATGGTTGTGATGATGCTAGAGGTCAAATCATGTACACTTTCCTTTGTGTTTGATGGTGTCACCCATGTTTGCTACAGTTCCATCAGTTTCGTATAGCGTGTGTTTCAAAAACAGTACGTCTTGTGATAAGTTATTCATGAAGATGTTCGATTGAGACAAACAAACATGTAAACAAAATCTGGAGTAGTGACAGTCATGTTTATAAATAATTTAGCAATAGCTAATTTCTCTTGAGTTCACAACAAATCACTGAAAAGCCACAGCTAAGTAATGCAGTTGACACAATTTGTTCAAATTTAATTTATTTGCATGTTGAAGGACATTCTGTGATTACATCAGTTCTATTTTTAGTAAGATTTCGTAATCGTGACAAACGCTATTCTGTATGAATCTTGCACGTTTTCATGAATTTTTCTATTATTTAGTATTTGCTACAGTTCTTAAATAACATGTATGAGAAAAATGTGTGAAAAATGTGACACAATTTTACTTTTAACCCATTCAATTGGTTAAAGTTAAGACATTTTCTAGAGGCTCTAAGTATCAGCTAATGGCTGCACTACAGATGTTAACGCTGACTTTCATTAAAACACAATGCATCTTCCGACATCGTTTATCTTAAGCTTGTTTCCCACTTTGCTAATTTCATTAAAACCGTCTCAAATATTTTGTTCCAGTCTATTCAATCAAATATTGACCATGTTTTTTTTCATTTTTTTTCTTTTCTTTATTAGATCTAAAATGGAAGTGTGAATTGATTGCTGCGTGTCTTTTATGAATATCAGCAGAAATCCTACCAGCGAAATGGAGACACTGCCTCATTTGGATTGTTACCATTATGGAATTGAGATCAAAAACCAAGTGGGAGTCAGTTCTTAGAGTTCTTCCATCGATTTACTCTGACTCTTTGGATTAAGTTCTTAGTTATTGCAGTCACCCCGACATGGTATCTGTGCATGAATCATTACTCCATCTGTATTGAATCGCCAAATAATTGCATCAAGAGATGATGATGGTGTGTGTGTGCCAGGTGAAATGTCTCTGCGTTATTACGAAAGGTAGGAGTGTTTTTTATCTTTGTGTATTTGTTTTTACAAATTCACAGCATGGTGGAGCTCATCTGATTTTAAAATTCCCTTCCTTTTCAAAACTCTTCCTACCAAGATTTAACCTTTTTTAATACCGAAATTTTATACACATTTTACATATTTTTGACTCCAGTGTGTGAAGCACACAATTGGGAGTCTTCACAGTTTCCCTGTGTGTGTGTCTGTTCCATGAATATCTGATGAATCGCTCGTTTCAATGATATCTGACATGCTAATATTGGTACATAGATGCATAGACCTGATCAGTTTTGAATCAAAATTGTTCATATTAATTTCCTAGTTTGCATAACAATTTTTATAAGCTTTTCCATCATTATTTCAGGTACTAATTATCTTGTAACCAATTTCTAATAACTCAGAAAAATCAGATTTCAATATAACTTGTGGTACAGGTGCTCAGGAATAAATCAGACTGCAAAACACAGATGTACAATCAAATTTATTTTCTTTGAACAATATAAACTTGTTTTCACGTTGTGCATCTCAAATACCGATAGTAGATAAATATTAGTTGCCAAACGTCTTGTTTGAAAGGCTAATTTATACTCCCAGCACACAGGAGTTCTTTCTAAGCTTTCTTTGATTCTGTAATTTAGTTACTAGTAGTGAATTTTACATCAAATAACAAATAATTCCTCGCTGACTACAGGTTCTCATCAAAATTTTGCTTTTAGAAGCTAAAAATAAAATTTGCTTGTGTCTTATGTAAATAAAAGGTATGTCTGTGGTCAAGATTTGTTTAACGATTTATACAATAAATGCAATTCGCGATTTATGTGCGCTTTAGATAGAGCAAATATGAAAATGATATTTTGACATTTTTATATATTAATATTTTAACTCTACAGTGCAAATTCATATATCGTTTTTTTTTTTTCTTATCTGTAAAAAATAAATTAAGGAATGTATTAATATGCAGTTCACACTTAATTTCCAGTCACAGAGGCTCTGTCTAGGTAAAAACAGCCTAGCAGTCGCCAGTTCTTGTAAGATCTGGCAGGTGTGATGCAGCAGCAGCAGCAGCAATTGAATTAGCTAAATTATCTGCTTTTTCTCATTGTAATATGATGTAGAAATATTTTGCTTTAAGCCTCATGTTGTTGTATGCTGATTTCTCAAATAAGCATGGTAATAATTAACCCCTATTTTACCAGAGGGTCTATGATTTTACTTACATCAGCTCATTCTACAAACAAATTTCTTCTTCTTAGAACTTACACTCATGTAATCAACATTGAAAAAACCTGATTTTGTCCTCAGTTCTAAAGCAGTATGCAAATTTATTTTAAATTATGGACGTTTATGAAGGTGTGTGCACAAGCTGTTGGCTCTGGTAGAATTTTGACCTCCAGATCATTATGTGGATGTGTATTTACTATATATCTATAATTGTTGATTTAACGTTTTCACTAAACATTCCCTCTATTCATCACAAATTCACAAAATACTTCCGTTTATAGTCTGCACTTTTCTTCGAAAAAAATTGGGACAAAAATAGCCAAATTTTTTGAGCAAAAACTTAACATTGACTCAAATTTTGTCTGTTGGCTCCAAAATTAAGTTCATTGAAGAATTTAAGAAAAACATGCAGAAAAATGTAGGCGAGAAAGTCTTGTGGTGAAATGATTAACAAGCATATCATCTATCCGGCTACATTTACAGAAGCAATAAATTTGAAACAGAATTATTATTCTTCAATCCTTTAGAATGAACTGTGCATCCCTTGGTCTGTATTTTATGGTTGTTTGTCACATCCCAGTTTCCCCGATTTATTTTGTTTTATCTTACTCATTCACTGGATTTATAGACAGAGGGAGAGATGATGTCAGTGATGTGATTATTGTACATAGTAAATATTATTACTGCTGGTAGTAGTAATTTATGAAACAATATCTGAACAGTTGGATGTAAGTTGTATCTTGTTGTGAGGATGATGGGAATTGATCGCAACATGTGCGTGTACTACTTCTTTTTGACATCATACAATTTGAGGAGCAAGGTTTTGTTTGCATTACAAACTACAAACTCTTCTTGCTTCAATCTTAATTGGTGCCTTATTTCTTGTATGTGTTGGTTATATGATTCCTCTGTCTGTGTTTAACGTTAGTACATACATGTATGTTGAACATTATGAGACCTTGATGCCTGTCATTTTGTATTCCTGGTCAGTTTCAAAATGGCCAACTGGTGGCCATTTTGTTTTAACAAATGCTGTTCCGAAGCCATATCTCTGACATGCCTTGACTGATCATGTTCAGAATTCACACAAACACCATACAATACAGTACAGTACAGTATTAATGCATGCTGTAGGCATAACATAGTAATTTGTCAATGACAACAATTCTTGTCAATAGCTTTGTACACTAAGTCTCTTCTAAACTGAACTTGGAAAATGTTTCAGTTTACTTTTTATAGAGGTCTTCTATACATAAGTTTACCTGGCAAGAATCTTTGGTTATGGACAGTGTTTGTTGAAGTTTCCATTCCAAAATAACAAAATAAAATTGTGAAGCAAATGTGACCATTTTAAAGGGTTCATCCAGGCATGCGGTCAAGAGCGGTACAAGTACTTAGGTAATGGCCTACATTCACTTAAGACTGTTTTTTTTTCTCTTACTATTTTCCTGTCCCTATGCGCTTTCACCATCAGGATCACTGACATTGTTACCATTAGTCTGCAATCATAGCCTCTTTAATTCTTTTTGGCTAAAACATTATCACCCTCGTCTATTTTGAATTGATTAGTTTTCAGTTTCTATTTTGCACATGTCCAAGCGATATCTTGACGTTTACAAGTGTCCTGAATACAAAATGGACATTGGCTGTTCTGTGTGATAATTGTACAAGAATTATGCAAGAATTTTGAACTTAACCTCTATACGTAGCTACATTTGCATGTTAATTTCGGAGAATGTTTTAAATTAAACTTTGTAGTTCAGATTCAGTAAGTTAGTGTCTTCATTGCAGGAGTAGGGCTGGCGTCTTGTCGCACACATGAAGTATTTTCAGCTCCTTCCATGTAAGGGGTTTGTACGGAAATGATGTAAGAGCCATGTGCATTAGAATGCAAAGCAAGTATGCTGTCAATAAATGATTTACATTGTCAAAGAATTCCTTGGAGACATACTGATATTGACTCAACTACGTGTTCTGATTGTTAACCCATTTAATTCATATTTTGTGCAATTACTTTTCCGTTTCGTCCTTAAAATATGTCCCTTCTCGGGCCCTTACCTCCATGTAACTATTGCCGCAGAATTCTAGACGATGCCAACATTTAGCATTGAATTTTGATATTACAAGAAATGGACTTTATTCACCTTAAACGTATGATAATTTCTTATAGAGGATAATGCAGGATTATGCACCTGTTCACAGAAGGAAAAAAACAAAACCAGGAAGTCGCTGTGCATGGAATGACCTGGGAAATAATTACACTCAGTTTTCAATGAAAATTGCTTCCCGATTGAATGACAAAAATATTATTCCTAAAAAGTTGTACCTGTTTATAGTGTATTCTAGACATAGACAGTCTTCAGGTACAGAGATTCAGCAAATACCACACTCACAACCATAATAATTCAATCACCTGCATTGTATAAAACATGGTCTTTGACAATTTCAAATCACTTTGCAATATAACATCTGCGAAAAAATAAAAATCTGAAATTCTGTTGTTATGCCATCAATCACATTTGACAGCACATTTTAAAATGCATGCATGTGATTGCCCCGGGGAAAATGTGTTCGTGTTCTGCATTGTATTACTGACTTGCCCCGTATTTGTAGAACAAAGACACCACTCTTGCTCCGCTTTAGGGTCTTAACGATTTAAATGGTGTGCGGTATGACAGTCACATTGGGCTTGACCTCTAGTTGACAATAGTGAGTGCAGCTACTCCTATACATGTGACATATTCAATTCGTAATATTAATTCAGTGTAGTTCACATTGATTGCCACACTCACCTTTTCTGAACCATCATAAGAAGTGACAGGCTCTATTGAAATTATAAAAACAGGAATTTATACTAATTATAGTGTTTTATTATTACACTTTCTGTATTTCATTCATGATGTGTATTTCAGTGGTTGTGGAAAGAGGGGGGGGGGTTGTAACATTGCTAACCAATCACATTGAGGTTCTATATCCTTGTATATAAATTCTACTTTATACTGATTATCAGATGTAGTGAGTAGTAGACTTTCAGATTGCAATGTCTTCAGTCATAAATTACTATTATCATGGATCATGCTTTCTCGCATTTAAATGACGTTGTTAAGCATTATATATTGTCACCTCTTATTCTAGTCTCGTATGTGGTGTTTAGCAATAACCCCCTGCTAAAAGTATTTCACGAGATATTGCACTGCATCAGATGTAATAAAGTGAGCCCTGGAACTAGCATTATACCTTTTGAGATGCTGTACATCAAGTGGCAGCCTCAATTCCAACATGCCAAAGTTATGCTAATTTTCAAATTTGATTTCTTTATGGAGTCTTTGAATAATTTGAGGCTGTCATAATAAAAAAAAATGTCAGTTGCTGAATAGCAACGTCCACACCACTATATTGTACAGGGTCAGCAAATTTGTTGTTGGCCCTGGTACTAGCATTATACCTTTTGAGATACTGTGGAATACTTTATTTTCGCTGGAATTAATTTTTGCTGAAAAGGCTTTTCGGGCATTTTGTATGGAATTTATTTTCACTGATTTTTGATGAGTTTAATGTAAAATATAGGAAAAAAAGTATATTCGCTGAATTTTATTTTCACGGAATCATCCCTTCAGCGAAAATAGCGAAAATAAATTCCAAGCGAAAATAAAGTATTCTACAGTACATGAGTTTTGAGTTTGTTTTCCCAGCATAAAACAAAATGAAAGCCAATTTTCAAAAAATAGCTTTAAATAACAATTACCCCAAGCTTGCACTGTATTCATAGC